GGAAGATTGGAGAAACTTAATTTTTCGCCCAAAAAAAAAACGTAAGGGGTACCACTGTCGTTTTTTTTTCGGGCCGAATTTTTGAGTTTCGATATCTCAGCTCTGGAAGGGCTAGAGCCTCCATTTTTGCACTCAGGTCTAAGTCTCATGGCCCTCTATCAGAATCCAGAGTTTTGGAAGATTGGAGAAACTTAATTTTTCGCCCAAAAAAAAAAAACGTAAGGGGTACCACTGTCGTTTTTTTTTCGGGCCCAATTTTTGAGTTTCGATATCTCAGCTCTGGAAGGGCTAGAGCCTCCATTTTTGCACTCAGGTCTAAGTCTCATGGCCCTCTATCAGAATCCAGAGTTTTGGGAAGATTGGAGAAACTTAATTTTTCGCCCAAAAAAAAAAACGTAAGGGGTACCACTGTCGTTTTTTTTTTTCGGGCCGAATTTTTGAGTTTCGATATCTCAGCTCTGGAAGGGCTAGAGCCTCCATTTTTGCACTCAGGTCTAAGTCTCATGGCCCTCTATCAGAATCCAGAGTTTTGGGAAGATTGGAGAAACTTAATTTTTCGCCCAAAAAAAAAAAAACGTAAGGGGTACCACTGTCGTTTTTTTTTCGGGCCGAATTTTTGAGTTTCGATATCTCAGCTCTGGAAGGGGCTAGAGCCTCCATTTTTGCACTCAGGTCTAAGTCTCATGGCCCTCTATCAGAATCCAGAGTTTTGGAAGATTGGAGAAACTTAATTTTTCGCCCAAAAAAAAAAAACGTAAGGGGTACCACTGTCGTTTTTTTTTTCGGGCCGAATTTTTGAGTTTCGATATCTCAGCTCTGGAAGGGCTAGAGCCTCCATTTTTGCACTCAGGTCTAAGTCTCATGGCCCTCTATCAGAATCCAGAGTTTTGGGAAGATTGGAGAAACTTAATTTTTCGCCCAAAAAAAAAAACGTAAGGGGTACCACTGTCGTTTTTTTTTTTCGGGCCGAATTTTTGAGTTTCGATATCTCAGCTCTGGAAGGGCTAGAGCCTCCATTTTTGCACTCAGGTCTAAGTCTCATGGCCCTCTATCAGAATCCAGAGTTTGGGAAGATTGGAGAAACTTAATTTTTCGCCCAAAAAAAAACGTAAGGGGTACCACTGTCGTTTTTTTTTCGGCCGAATTTTTGAGTTTCGATATCTCAGCTCTGGAAGGGGCTAGAGCCTCCATTTTTGCACTCAGGTCTAAGTCTCATGGCCCTCTATCAGAATCCAGAGTTTGGGAAGATTGGAGAAACTTAATTTTTCGCCCAAAAAAAAAAAACGTAAGGGGTACCACTGTCGTTTTTTTTTCGGGCCGAATTTTTGAGTTTCGATATCTCAGCTCTGGAAGGGCTAGAGCCTCCATTTTTGCACTCAGGTCTAAGTCTCATGGCCCTCTATCAGAATCCAGAGTTTTGGGAAGATTGGAGAAACTTAATTTTTCGCCAAAAAAAAAAAACGTAAGGGGTACCACTGTCGTTTTTTTTTCGGGCCGAATTTTTGAGTTTCGATATCTCAGCTCTGGAAGGGCTAGAGCCTCCATTTTTGCACTCAGGTCTAAGTCTCATGCCCTCTATCAGAATCCAGAGTTTTGGAAGATTGGAGAAACTTAATTTTTCGCCAAAAAAAAAAAACGTAAGGGGTACCACTGTCGTTTTTTTTTCGGGCCGAATTTTTGAGTTTCGATATCTCAGCTCTGGAAGGGGCTAGAGCCTCCATTTTTGCACTCAGGTCTAAGTCTCATGGCCCTCTATCAGAATCCAGAGTTTTGGGAAGATTGGAGAAACTTAATTTTCGCCCCAAAAAAAAAAACGTAAGGGGTACCACTGTCGTTTTTTTTTTCGGCCGAATTTTTGAGTTTCGATATCTCAGCTCTGGAAGGGGCTAGAGCCTCCATTTTTGCACTCAGGTCTAAGTCTCATGGCCCTCTATCAGAATCCAGAGTTTTGGAAGATTGGAGAAACTTAATTTTTCGCCCAAAAAAAAAAACGTAAGGGGTACCACTGTCGTTTTTTTTTTCGGGCCGAATTTTTGAGTTTCGATATCTCAGCTCTGGAAGGGGCTAGAGCCTCCATTTTTGCACTCAGGTCTAAGTCTCATGGCCCTCTATCAGAATCCAGAGTTTTGGGAAGATTGGAGAAACTTAATTTTTCGCCAAAAAAAAAAACGTAAGGGGTACCACTGTCGTTTTTTTTTTCGGGCCGAATTTTTGAGTTTCGATATCTCAGCTCTGGAAGGGCTAGAGCCTCCATTTTTGCACTCAGGTCTAAGTCTCATGGCCCTCTATCAGAATCCAGAGTTTGGGAAGATTGGAGAAACTTAATTTTCGCCCAAAAAAAAAAAAAACGTAAGGGTACCACTGTCTTTTTTTTTTTTCGGGCCGAATTTTTGAGTTTCGATATCTCAGCTCTGGAAGGGGCTAGAGCCTCCATTTTTGCACTCAGGTCTAAGTCTCATGGCCCTCTATCAGAATCCAGAGTTTTGAGAAGATTGGAGAAATTTAATTTTTCGCCAAAAAAAAAAAAAACGAAAGGGGTACCACTGTCGTTTTTTTTTTCGGGTCGAATTTTTGAGTTTCGATATCTCAGCTCTGGAAGGGTCTAGATGTTTATTCGCCTCTGCCATAACGACCTATTGGTTTTCATTAAACCGAAAAAATGGAATTTTGTTTTATTTACGATCACTGAGAAATGTTCTATTATTTAAAATGCAAAAAAAAAAATATATATATTATTTTCAAGGTAAAAATGATTCATTTGCATGGATCCACGCCGGAGAAAACGTCTAAATGTCACGTTTTTAATGAAGCAGCCTAATGAGTAAAATGTCTATTTTTCCGGCGTCCCCCCAGCTCCTCGTTTAAGCAAAAGGTACGCTAAAAACAACGTATCGACGTTTAACCACGTTAACCGTGTTAACCATAACCTTTTAAATACTCGACCTAGTTCCATTGCTTAGCAACGGGAAGAAACTCCTGTAACTTCAGTGCCCAACCCGTATCACGACGTGAAATAATCACGTTGGTCCACTTTGGAAAACGTGTAGATGTCACGGTTTAGTTTAAACTCAAAACCATAGGGCTATACTGCCCTCTTGTGTCAAATTATATTTCTATATTTATTTTTCCAACAAATAAAGCCAAACCTGCAATAAAACCCCGTCCAAAATACACTTGAACTTAACAGATGCAGTGGCTCAGTTGATAAAGCGTTGGGCTTTAATCAAGAAGACCTGAGGTTAATTCCCATACTTGCGTTAAATTGTTGTGATTATATCAAACAAAGTGGCCTAAACAATGCTTCTATAAACTTACTAACATCAACCTAAAACACAGACAGAAAGGCTGTTATACTGCCTGAAAGTACTGAACAATCACGCAACTATGTAACCCTTACCCTAAAACCTCTAAAAGACCCCTAAAAGGTATTTGTCATTGAACACAGATTTTTTTTTTTTTTGCTCGCTGAGTGATTGATTTTTACAAAATATACATTAAAAATGACCCAAAACTTGAATTTATTTATTTAACTTGAAATTTACTTAAAATGTGAATTTATATGTATTTCCAAATCTAAAATGAACTCACAATGGAGCCTTGACAGCATGTGACCAATGTGCAAATGTCTCCTTCACTTCCTTGTTGGCAAAAATGTCGAGCTCATGGTATTTTTCTTTGGCTGAATATTGTAGTTTGTTAAATGCAGTTTTCTCTGCACCATTTCTAAAGACGATACACCATAGAGGGTTCAATTACTGTTCACTTTTTTTTTTTATTCTGTTTTTTACCTGTCTTGATTTTGTTATTACAGACACCAAGGATGAAAAGAAACTTTAGCTTGTGAACAAGAATTTAGTGTGAGGCTGAAAATAATAAAGCAAAGATACACATTGATGTATCAAAATTAATATAGTAATCTTTCGTTATTAATTTAACTGCTCACTTTTTTATCCTATCAGAAAAGGAAGTCAACAAATAATTTGTATTTAAATTAAAGCATGCACGTATTTGCTTTGTTTGCTGTTTTAAATTTGTTAACTTGTGAATCAATATATATGTCTGCATTTCCTTACATAATCTGCTAGAAAAATATATAAATATATTTGTAATATTTTTTATAGAATATATATATATATATTATATATATATATATATATATATATATATTCCACATCTTACTCAAGTATTGAAGGCTTTTAGTCGAATCGTTCAGTGAACAATAATACTGAGAAAAAACAGTTTAAAAAACAATTTAAAGCCAGTAAATAAGACTGCCTTAAACATTCATTAGACATTTAAAGAATAAATCCCAAACTTTAATTTTTTCATTGAAAACTGTCCTGTTGAAGACATTGACCGCTGGAAAGCCTAATCATTTAATATGAAATACAGTAGCCAATATGATAAGCTATATTTCTTTCACTTTACAGGGGTCACACTCATGTGACACTTTGAGGAACCAGTGACTGACAGAACACCGTCTCTGACATAGACAATAGAAATTCCGGATTTCACACATGCTGGAGATACACATTTATGGTGGATGCAAAAGACGGAATATGGTGTTAATCGTGATTTCATGATTATCTTTTGTCAATTTTATTCCATGAAAGCACTCTGATTTAATGAAATAATTTTAATTTCAACCTGTAAAAAGACAGTACTTTTCTAATGTTTTGGCACATCTAATCACTGTTAATGTGAAGAAAAAAATTCTTACAACCTCCACACAGTATTATATATAATTTGATACATATTTTTATTATTGTTTTATCATACTTGTATAATTATTATTATTTTGTTAGTTTTATATTTGTGTTTTAAAAAAAATACTAAATATTTTGTGGAAATAATTGTAAAATCAAAGAATATGTGATTGAAACATTTTTATAATAATGTTTTTGTACAAAGTTTGAACTGATTTAATTCCAAGATAGTCACAAATTGTGAAACAATGCACTTCACACTATGGTTAAGTAACCATGGAAAGTTGGTGGTTAGTGAACCTTGCTTTTAGGGACATTGGTATATAAGGCAAATGTTACCACACTGAACTCACAGTAGGATTCATTCCTCACACAATGATCAGGAAGGTACTGCCTTTTCATCATGTTAGATAATAATACATGTTTTACTTCTTTTGCTATAGTTAAAATTCAAATGCATCAAAAAGTATTCATGCTGTTGATGGGCTAATAGGTTTGATCTTTTCTTTGCTCAGGGTGTTACTGAGAGTTTTGGAGCAGCAGTCTCCTGCCTGAACACATCTCATCTGACAGATGAAGTGATTAGAAGGAGTAAGCGAATGATACTGGACACGCTGGGAGTGGGATTGCTTGGAACCAGTACTCCAGTCTTTAACATAGTCCTTCGGAGCAGCCAAGTAAGGATGCTGTTTCAAAAGATGTACATTGTTAGGTTAACCTCCCTTTATGTCTGTCTCTTATGCACATTTCTTTAATCATTTATAAATCAGAGGCAGCAAGCAGTGGAAAACAGCAAGGTCTGGGCAAGACCAGGATTATCTCTTCCACCTCAGTATGCTGCCTTTGTTAATGGTGTTGCGGTAGGTCATTTTAAATACTCCCCTTCAGATACATGGTATGAACTTGTGACAAAAATCAATAATTTCTGCATAATCAAGATGGTCCTGCTAGAGCAGTCATTCCCAAAGTCGGGGTCCCGACCCACACGTGGGTCGCGGGAGATTTTGTCTGGGTCGCCAAGTCGAGCACTATTTTTCAGTGTGTTGTAGGCTACTCTCTAGATATGGGCTATTCAATTGGCGGCCCGCGGGCAAGTGCGGCCCGCCAATCATCTCCATACAGACGAGGGCACCCCAACCTCCCTCTCCTCCTATTTTCTGGTGGTGCCGCGCGGCTAAATTTGGTTAGATATGCGCGTGGACGCAGTGGCGCGTGAAGCTGGATGACTATACGCACGCACTGTGTGTGTACCATGAGCACTCCGACTGACCTGAGAGAAAAGTTTACAGTCCGAATATTTCAGCAGTTTTTATGTGTGTCCCGTATTTCTGTCGACTGAACCAGCGATAATAATCATTCGTTGGTTTGATTATTTCCTTTTCATGAATTGGCCATTGGCCAAACGCGCGTGCATAACGGTCTGAAACGATTCGGATTTTTTTCACCTGAAGCGGTTTCTCGGTAAGTAACAACAAATAGAGAACAAAATAGCGCTGGTTTCAGTCGTTTCACTAGTTTACTTTGAACTAGGCAGCACGGCCCAGTGGATAACGGAACGCAAAGCTTAAAGGAGTTGCGTTTACTCCCGGTCCCGGACACTATTATTAAACAACGTTGCGCGACATCCTTTAAGAAGCGTTTCCATCGGACACTCCTCTCTCTTACAAACCACACATCACTCAATGATTTTAACTAGTTTTAAATCGGATGAAACAGTCTTAACATTCCCAACACTACTGATGAGAAAAATAGAAGAAACATGAATAAAGTTAGAAGACTAAATGCCCTAATCACCCCCCTTACAAACATTTACCATGTAATAGCCTGAATGTAATAATTTGCCATGGTTTGGGCATAAATGTGGAATATTTATATTGAATGCTATGTTATAGTCATTTATATTGCCTTAGATTTATTAGGGGGGTAGAGGAATATGTATTTAATCGTGTGTGTAGTTTTTTTTTTGTGTGCCTGTTTAGGCATTTTTATGCAGTGGTAGTGAGCCATGCATGGTTACAAAGTCTCAGTGTCAGAATATTTTAATTTAAGCCTATAATAATTATTATAGTAAATTATGTACACTGTAACTATGAGAATATGAAAACAATGAGATGCCCTGTCAACTTTTCCTTTCTCATTTCACCTCTGCATATTGTCAACAACAGGTTAAACAAAAAAAGTGCTTTGTCAAATATCTGTATCTCTTTTAAATAGTTAACTGGAAGCTTAAAAAATGACCTTAAAAAATGGTCATACATAATTTTGTTAATGCATAAATTCTCTTCGTGATATATGAACTATATGGGCCTAATGTTTTTTGGGTCACAAGGATTTATCGACTTTAAAATGTGGGTCGCCAGAAAAAAAGTTTGGGAAACACTGTGCTAGAGCATACAGTGATGTGAATAAGTTAGGACACCCATGCTAAATTTGCCCAAAAAGAGGAATAAAAAATCTTCTTTTGAAAAAACATCTTTTGGAAATTGATCTTAATACCTTAATTAGAAAAACGAGGAAAAATCCAACCTTTAAGGACACCATTTTTTTTTTTGTGTGTGTGAATGAATAATGTATCATAAATGAATAAATGTTCTTCCTTAAAATACAGGGTGCATTAATCAGGACACCCCTATGTTAAATTCCCATAGAGTCTGGCAGATTTTTATTTTTAAAGGCTAGTTATTTCATGGATCCCACATCATCACACACCCTTCATCATACCTCGAGATTTATTTATTTATTATACATTATTCAGAAAATTGGTGTCCTTAAATGTTTTTTCCTAACTTTTTAAGGAATTGAGATCAATTTCCAAAAGATGATTTTTTTATACCTCTTTTTAAGCAATTTTAGTTTGGGTCTCCTAACTTATTCACATCACTGTATTCTCTCAGATGGGTGCTTGATAATGGGATGTATTCCTGTGCTATTAGGTGCACTCAATGGACTTTGATGACACCTGGCATCCAGCCACTCACCCCTCTGGCGCTGTTTTGCCGGCTCTCCTGGCACTGGCTGAAACACTGCCTGCTAAACCCTCTGGCCTCGAGCTGTTGCTGGCTTTCAATGTAGGCCTTGAGGTTCAGGGGAGACTCATGAGGTTTTCTAAAGAGGCTCATAACATTCCCAAAAGGTAAAATACTTTTTTTTACAATTTTATACTTTTTAAATGAAATATCAAATTAGATCCATTAAATTCTAAATCCATTTAAAAACATTAAATTCTATCCATTTAAAAATTAAAGTCCTCAATTACATAACTTAAAATAAATTTTTTTGTAACATTATAAATCACTTTTGACTAATATAATGCATCCTTGCTCAATAAAAGCATTTTTTTAGTCTGATCACAAACTTGAATAGTAGTGTGCATTTCCAATTACTTTAATGTGCATCAACTAATTATCAATTAGGTTTATTAATAAGAAAATCCAATAAAAAAAACTTAAATTGGCTTTTCTTTTTTTTCAAATGTATTTATTAGATATATATTCTGATTTATGTGTCCCTCTCAGATTTCACCCGCCTGCAGTTGTTGGGATTATGGGCAGCGCGGCTGCTTCGGCTAAACTTTTGGGTCTTCCAGCAGCCCAGAGCATAGCAGCTCTAGCGATAGCCTGCTCTTCTGCTGGAGCTCCCATGGCAAACGCTGCTACTCAAACCAAACCCCTGCACATGGGCAATGCTGCCCGAGGGGGTCTGGAGGCCTCCCAGCTGGCTCTCCTCGGCCTTGAGGGTAATACACAGATTCTGGATCTGGCATCAGGCTTCGGGGCCTTCTATCCAGATTATGTCCCTCAACCATTGGCTGAGTTCACCCCAACTTCTCAGTACAAGTGGGTGTTAGAAGACCAGAATATTGCACAGAAGCGTTTTCCCGCACACCTCGGCATGCACTGGGTGGCAGATGCAGCAATAGAAGCAAGGGCGACATTTTTGGATAAATACCCAAATGCAGATCTCAGTCAAATTAAGAAGATCACACTCAGAGTGCCCTCATCCAGATATGTAGACTGCCCTTTTCCAGTTAGCGAACACCAGGCCAGACACTCCTTCCAGTTCAACTGCTGTACCGCACTGCTAGATGGTCAGGTCACAGTTGACTCTTTTAGCAAAAGCCAGATGAACAGGAGCGCCCTTAAGGAGATGCTTCTGAAAGTAGAGTTGGAAAATCCACAAGACAACCATTCAAGCTTTGAAAAGATGTATTGCGAAATCGCCGTGGAGACAACACAAGGGGAAATGTTCAACGCACGCTGCAACACTTTTTACGGTCACTGGAGGAAACCACTGAGTCATGAGGACCTCGTGATGAAGTTCAGGGCTAATGCTTCGACTGTGCTGACCCCTGATGTCGTGGACGCTATTATTTACACTGTAGACCGTCTGGACACAAACCAAGACTGCTCAATGCTTTGGTCATACATGCACTTTAATAAGCACATGATGCACAGGCATGAGCATCTCTACTCAGCTTTGGCTTGAATTATTGTGTAATGTTACTTGTTCAGGCTAATAGAAAGTATCTTGGTGAACCACTTATTAAACCTGTTATGAATTCTGATGCGGTAAAAGTTAAAAGCACGAGAACCACTGTACTATTGTGATTGAAATCTTGCATTTTCTATTCCAGCAATTGTTACAAGTAATTTAGAGGTTAGCAAGTGTTTAAATCTTTTTATACATTTTTATACATATTTTTACCATTAAATCTTGTCTATAACGTGCATTTTGAGGGTACTGTGGCTAGCCTATTTCAGCAACATTTTTTTTTTTTTTTTTTTGGAAATACACAAAATTAAGCAACCATGCTCTTTCGTCAGATGTCGTTTTTCCCAGGATGCAGAAAGTAACGAGAGAAAACAGAACAGCTCTGTTCATTTTTACACTTTCTGAATGAAAGGTTTCACATCAATTTCTTCTTTGCATTTTATGTCACCGTGTTTTCTGTTCTGTATTTTTTATTTTCTGTTTGAATGTAGCTATTTACAATATATAAATTATTTATCAATTATCAAACTGAATTGTCAGCATAATTTCTCCAGTTGCATGATCCTTCAGAAATCTTTCTAATATGCTGATTTGCTGCTCAATAAAAATGTCTTATTATCTGTGTTGACAGTGGTATTGCTTCTTGAGTGTTTGTAGAAACCATGATACATTTTTTCAGAATTCTTTCACGAAAGTTCAAAATAAAGGCATTTATTTAAAATAGACTTTTTTTCTAACAATGTGAAAGTTTTGATTCTCACTTTTCAATTTTAAAGCATTGTTGCTGCATAAAAGCATACATTTCTTTCCCCCAAAAATGATTGATCCCAAACTTTTGAACACCAGGGGCCCGTTTCAATAAGGAGGTTCAACCAACTCTGAGTTAAAGCTTGAACTCAGAGTTGACTTACCCTGAGATGGGAAACTCTGAGTTTTCGGTTACAGAACAGCTGAAATGAGTTAGTTCAATCAACTCTGAGTTGACCGACTCTGAGTTAAGCGCTTGCACCACAACTATAAAAAGCCATTATCAATGGAGCACAGATATTATGAGTCACCATGGCAACAGCGCCAGACAAAAAGAGGTGTTTATTAATTACCAAGTAATCTAAATATTGTAATTTAATTAAAGGGATTACTCTTAATTCTGCTGTAATTTAAAATAAAATATGATGCAATTACATTAAATAGGCTACTACATAAACCAATTAAGTATAAAACAATAGTGGATTTAACATACATTTTTAAAAGGTATATTTTTTTATGTAACCTTCTCCCTCTACACACTTTGATCAATTCAAGAATAATTCATGCAATTGTACATTGTGAATTTGAAAGAATTAAAAGTGCAGTTTCTTGTCTCTCCTCTTTGTATTAATCAAGTGGTTGAGGTTGAGATTTAGCAATTAGTAATACAGTATGTAGACCAATACTTTCTAGAGATAGTAGCCTGATTATTACATTAATCTAACTACACCGTTGAAGATGTCAGTTAATAATTCATAACTATTTTAGAGTAACTTACTGTTATAATATAGTAAACTTACTGTTATTCAACCTAAAGTAGGCTACTATTACTTTGATAAAATTTTACCTAAGTTAAAGTAAAAATACCAGTCTAAAAATCCACTCAAGTAAAAAGTAGTTAATTTAAAACATGAGTAAAAGTTGCTGAGTAACTTGTGGGGGTGGGGTGGGGGACTCCCCCATGTGGGGAGAGTTGAGAAACATCTCAGAAAATATCACGGTTTATGGTATTAAACAATTATTAAATATATAAACTGCATTCTTAAATTACGGTTATTATTATCATCAGTTAAAATGACAGTTAAATAAATTAATCATTTGTTCAATAAAACATATCAACTAACTTCAATAATTGATTATGAATAAGATTAACATCTTATTTTTTATCATTAATAACTTATTAAATTATGTTTGAAAAATAAGTGAGTTCTATTAAATGTTTTTTATTCCAATTTTTTTAATGATTTAATAGAAATATATTATCAAAAACGGTGGTAATCAAATAAAAGTTTAAACGTTTTAAATCCTTTTATTTTTTGGCAAAGTGCTACAAAACAGATTTAGTCAATTAAACCATGGACAAACAATATATATTCCTTAAAGAATGTGTAAATACATTTTAGTATTATTGTTGGTGTTTAACAGCACTTCCTCTTTAAAAAAGGGGAGGAGACCGCAAGAAACTCTGAGTTTACTGAAGAAAACCTGCTCCCGACCAGGTTAGGTTCACGGAGTAAGTTACCATGGTAACTGACTCTGAGTATAAGTTACCTCTCTTTCAGAAATGGGCTTGACTTACTCTGCTGTCTCAGGTTTAACTTACCTCCCTTTCTGAAACAGAAAACCCAGAGTTTCCCTCATTTCAGGGTTAACATACTCAGAGTTTTCACTTAACCTCCTTTCTGAAACAGGCCCCAGAAGACTTTTGTGTATTTTGAGAATCTAGACAAATTAAAGGACAAATTAATATTCATCTGTAACAAAGGCTAAACTTTTATGTTATATGTTTTAATTATATGCTTATGTTTATTCAGACACTTGTCCATGGATTCATTAAAAAACATTAGAACGACGATGTCAATCCAATCATTTTGCAAGAATTCAGGCAAGTTTCAGCACCTCCTGTACCATCACTCCAATTCCATCAAATATTTCATGTAGTGGAGCTTTGCACATAAAAGCAGAGGTGGTGACGATCTTATTTTTCTCATCAACATGAGCCTCGTTCACGTGCTTACAGATGTGCTTGCAGCCAAGCTGAGAAATAGCTTCCGCAGTGTCTGGAACATCTGGATACCTGAATGCCAAAGATTCAGACAGTATGCCTCAGTTCAATCTGCTTATACCAATATCAACATTTTTGTGAACAACATGGGAAGAGTAAAAGATAATTCTGTATAAGAATACATGGTTTTGTATAACCAGAGCTCAGCCTTTTCTGTGGTTTCTGTGTTGTTGTTGTTGTTTTTTTGCCTGGTTCATCACATTTGCATCCTATTTTGAGGACAAACTATTTCAATGGTAATGAATGGCACAGCACCATGTGCTTTGTTTTTAAAAGCATTCTTATACTGCATCAAAATAATTTATTGATGATAATCTTATTATTATGAATGTTAAAAACAGTTTTGCTGCTTTTTATTTGTGTTAAAACCATGATACATTCCTTAGGATAATTTGATGAATAGAGAATATTAGAATACTATAAGTAGAATATAGTTAACTAAATCTGAAAACCATAAAAAAAAAACATTTTATTACTTGAAATAATATAAATGTTAACAGAAATAAAATCAAATGTAAAAAAGCTTAGATTTTAACTTGATGTACTTAACTAAAACTGAAATAAATAGACATTAAAAAAACTAATAAAACTGATCATTTAAATGTACTACAATTAAAACTAATCGAAAATATATAAAATAATAATAATAATGTCTAAATGATAGTAATGTTTATCTAAAAATAAAAAATAAAAGTAAAAGTGCTAAATAAAAGTAATTATTTAAAAAAAAAAGGCATTTTTCTGACCCCAAATTTTAGAACAGTAATGTACATTCAAACTGAAGCCATAACTGGGGAGACATTTCTATGTTTGCTAAGTTAATTCTGTATAATAAAGTTTTAGATTTCTTAAAAACATTTTAAGTCACCTAATTTCAACTTGTTTACCTATCATCTTTGTCATGGCCAACAGTAACTTCACAGCCAGGGAAAACCTTCGCTGCCAGCACAGGTGAGATGCAGCACAAGCCAATGGGCTTCTTCTCGGCATGGAAGGCCAGCAGCACTGTTTTAACCTGCTCATTGACCAAGCAGTCTTTGCCCTGGACAGCCCAGCTACACAGGTTCTTGGCTGCTCCAAAGCCACCTGCAAAATCAGTTCAAAATAATAGTAAATGAAATGTTGAGCTTAAGAGTACATAGAATTCTTCAAAAAGAAGCCTCAATAAGGATAGCGTGCTAACCAGGGAAGATGATGGCATCCAGATCCTTTACATCGAGCTGCGAGAGGTCTTGGATATCACCCCGGGCAATTCTAGCACTCTCCACGAGCACATTTCTATTTTCCTTTGTTGGAGAGCCTTTCAAGTGATCGACAACATGCATCTGATCAGTGTTGGGTGCAAATATCTTGACCTGTGGGAAGGTTAATCCTGTTACCAAAGTCCTAGACAACATGAAAGTTCAATACATTACATGATATTTTATAATGTAGGCTGAGAATTATTTGAAACCAGCAACACGGATGTTATAAATATACTTATTTTTAAAAGTTTAGATGGACTACTTCATTGTCAACAGTAAAGACATTGCAGTGTTTCCATTAGGCATGTGCCAATAAACAGGATTGCAATACACTTTTTTTTTGTTGTTTTTTTTGTTAAAGGGGTCATATATTGGTACATGCACTTTTACAAGTTGATTGTACTGAAATGTGTGTTGGCAGTGTCTGTACACAACCATCATTTAATGATAAAAATCCAACCAGTGTTTTTGTCTCCAATCTCCTTATGTTTTTTTTTTTTTAGCTAGGCTATTTATTTTTAAACTTAAACATTGTAACGTTTCAATCTGGACTTCAAACATGCACTAAATATTGATTGAAAATTTTCTAATTCTTTATAATTTTTTGGTAACACTTTAAGGCTCCATTAGTTAATTCATTATTTAGCATAAACTGAAAATGAAAAATAATTCTAAAGCATTTATTAATTTCAACATTTACTAATACATTACTCAAATTAAAAGTTGTAAATTTGATGTACCTGAGCTAACATGATCAAACAATGATCAATTGCATTTTTTAACTAACATTAACAATGAATAACCTTTGTAACAAATTTAGGTATTCCTCATTATGATCATAAACTAATGTTAACTAATGAGACCTTATTAAGTGTTACTGTTATTTATAATTATTTAGTATTTATCTGTTTGAAACATTTGTTTACTCTAATTATTTTATTATTAAGACTTATGTTTTTATTGTTTTAAATGTTCAGTTCTTTTTTATTTAAGAAAAAAGTTACTAAACACATTATAGAATGACATCACACTGCAAATGATATCAAAATATTGAAAATATCGCATACGGTGATAAAAGTTTAACAACAATGTCTGGCTTAGTCAGAAATCACAAGAATATCAGTACTGACAGGAATGAAGTGTTTTAAGAAGTTTAAGAAAGAAGTTTTTTTTTTTTTTTTTGCTGTTTTCTTCTTTATGACCTACAGAGATTTGTAGTACAATGCAAATTCTCTCTTGAAGACAGTAAATAGAGGTTGTGTTTTAAAACATTTACATTTGTGGATGAAAAATTTACCCAAGATAATTAAAGTGTTTAAAAGCATTTCATAGTTTTTGTCTTTCATTGTAATTCCAAATGTGGTGTTATCTCTAGTAAAACTGGACAGAGACTGGAGATTAGGCTCCAGCCAATCATACATGCCATACCACCAGACACATCATTTGTTTTTCTTCTGCTTCTGTAAGAGCAGAAGTAAAACAAATGATCCGTGGTCTCTATGTTCTCATCACAGAATATACAGTTGGCTCTAAGTTAAATCTACGTGAGAGGTTTCAACGCAAGAGTTTTCCACCCCATTTCCTGTTTACCGTGCATGGCGTCGATGTCATCACTTGTCGCCACTAACCAATGAGAAGCGTTATCTGCAGGCTGCGGACAGGTCATGTGCGGAATTATCACGGCACAGCCATAGAGTAGTATGAAGCTGCAGACTCGGAGACCTGTATTTACAGTCCCCCTGCACCCAGAGTCCCGCATTCTCAGACCCCTCGTTTTTCGAGACAGCGCCTCCTATCAAATTGTATCGGATAAACATGTGAAGAACATGTGAAGAACTTAAGCCAAAACATGAGTAGTAGATAAATAAAATCTTCAATTTTATTTAGCGATTCGTAGTAGACTACTCGTTTGATTTATTTTGTTAATAAAACTAATTTAGCTCATCGATACAACATATGAATAGTCAATTTAATATTTGTAAAGATAGTTTGAAACAAGATTTGAGCCGTTAATGTATGTTTTTTCGCCCTCTTCTCCCCGAAAATATTTATAGTTTATGTTTACGTTAGCCTTTAACCTTGGACTTTTTGTAGAAATGTCTTAAATGCTGCAGTTATTTTTACTGCCCATTTTGTGCCCCCATATATTTCAAACCCACAAAGTTGTCCAAAGTTCAAAAACATCTCAAGGGACACTTCAACAGAGCAGTGCAACATGGTAACTAACATTTGCAAACATTTTTTCTTTTTTTTTCTTTCTTTCTTTTTGAAACATCATAGACATGTAGCCTACTATCGGTCCCATGGAGTTGCCCCTGCCGAATCCAGCAACATATCATTTTATGATTATGCAAAGGGACTTATAAATGAGTTTTAATTAATGCAATTGAAGACGAAAAGTAAAGTCAAAAACACTGTTTTTTCTTCCTTTTTTCTTTACAGCAAGATGATGTTTAGGTGATCATTAAATAAAGTACAGAATTGTTTATTATTGGTGTTTTGTCTATTCTGATTTGTTTTGCTTCGCATTCAAAATCAAAAAACAGATATTGTAATGTTAGCATGGTAATGTTAATTAGACCATTATAGGTTTAACTGAAAGAAAATGTGGAATTTGAAATAAAAAATATAATAAAAAAAAACATTGTAGCAATATAATATAGCCTACTATTTTACTGAAGATAGTTCAATCTGCTAATTGTATCCCTTCCATCAGTAACAATTAGGGTTTTTTTTTTTTTTTGACACATTCATTAAGCAGGGAACACAAATATTTATTGGATAATTTATTTGAAGACCGTAATATTGCATCCTATTGTTTTTAATTGCATTTGGATAATGCGCTGTACTCTCTGTGCGGGCGTTATTCGATCTTTTGAACAGCAGGAGGCGCTGTGTTCGAAAAACGAGGGGTCTGAGAATGCGGGACTCTCGTTGGGGGACTGTAGATGCAGGCTCCGAGTCTGCAGCTTCAGGGCACAGCGCGGGTGAATTCAATGTTTGAGAAAGGTGTGCGTCAGTCACCGAACCGGTGTGGATGGCATTCGGAATCACAGATTATCCTTTTTGAAAGTATGACCACTATAATAATTTTCACCGGAAATGTTCTGGTTCTGACCAACTGGGTAAAAAAATTACAGTAAATCGTGCTAATTAAATCTAAAATGCTCGAATTTCCAGCAGAAATCCACCAGTAGCCTAACGTTACCACTGACATTAAACATGATTGCACGCTTACCGGTTTGAATCGAGCTAAGGCAAGCAGATGCATTTGCTCAATTTTATTTTGGATCATTTTTAACCCAAAAAGTTAAGGACTGCAGCTTTAAATGACGTTAAGTGATCTAATAAAAATAGCACCAACTTGACATGCCATTTATTGATTTAGACAAACTATTTATTGCATTGCTCCAGGATTATGATCTGTGTTGAATGTCAGCGTTATTACATTTATATGCAGTGTAGAACCTTAGATCTGATAAACTTACAGTAGCTTGCTGACGGCTCAAATGAACCAAAGCCGCAGACGCCTCGTGGACTTCACTTCCATCGAACACACCGCACCCTGCCAACACAACAGCAACGCGCTTTCCCATATTTTTAAACGAAAAGTGGCTAGTGCGGTCGCGGTGAACTTGAAAGGTTACGAATTTCCGGCTGGGGTTCGTGAATGAAGAGTACTGCTTTTCAATGCGTTCTTTTGAATCGAATCTTTTCAATGAATCTGTTGAACAGTATGGAGTCCATTCGTTCTGAGTAAACAACTCACTGAGCTGAACAGAGTCAGTAGCACCTCAATGCAGAACATAAGATCCACGGGGAGGAGTCGGATCACGATCCAAGGGGTGGAGATGGGTAAGATTAGGGTTGGGTTTAGGGATTAGGGGTGGGTTTAGGGATCAGGGGGCGGAGTTGGTTAGGTTTAGGTGTATGTAAGGTGGGAGGAGTTGGATCTGGATCCGACTCCTCCCCATGGATTTCATAACAGAGTTGCTGTTGAACTAGGCATCGGGAACCTTTATTTTGAAATTACTCTTATTCTAAAAAATAAATAAATAAAAATAGTCGTTTCCGTTTCTGGTCATCTCAGTTGACATACATGCATGAAATATATCATAGTTAGTTGTGATATATTTATCCATTAACATATCGTGGGTGTTTGAGTAAATAACTTTACATTCCTTGACGCAATTACGTTCATTATATAGTCCACTGAGTGCTGCTGTACTGGGCACGATTAATTTACCCTAGCTAGCTTTGCTAGCTAATAACCTTTCTAGGTAGCGCCCACCTCAACACAAGCCAGTCGTCTGATAATGGCAGGACTGTATCGAGCTCTTCTAACATCTGCCTCCACTGTTACAAAGGTGAGATTAGTTCATATCAGCCTCTTTGAATAAACCATGATAATTTCGATAATTGCAACAACAACAAAAAATCTTAATATTAACTTTTAAAAAATGTAATTGCAGAATTTGACACAAGCCACATGTCGCACTAAATTCACTAAGAGTCGCATCCCTCCACAGGTACGTGACAGTTCAAAATGTACATTCATAGTTTTATGAGATTCAGTGTATTTAATGTAATAACATCACACCATCTTCTCGTTCTTCAGGTATTTGAGGAACGAGCAAAAGAACATGGCAAGTACGGTGGTGATCCAGAACATCCTCATAAATTACACATAGTGACACGGGTTAAAAGCACAATGAGGCGTCCATATTGGGAAAAGAAGGTTATAAAGAGCTTGGGGTTAATGAAGGTGGGATGTGGCAAATTTACTTTATGAAATAGTATCAGACTTAACTAAAATATTTTAGTTTAATACATCTTTTTCCCCAGGCGCATGAACCCCGTGTCCACAAGAACACTCCTTCAGTTAACAATCTACTGAAAACCATTAAGCATCTGGTTAGGTATGTTGTGACTTTTGCATTTCATAACATTTTAAAATCAGTTGTTTGCTGACCATTATAATAAATTTACCTATTCAAATATTCTTATGTGCAGGATTGAGCCTCTCAAGCTTCCGTATGGACTACCTGCTGAGGAGGACATGGCCAACACATATCTGAACAGCAAAGGGGAGCTGGTAGTTAAACGTCTCCTGCAACCACTTGAGCAGAAGGCCATTGAGTCATAGAATTTGTTGTGTTGTGTGTTTGCTACTTGTTAAATAAAGGTTTGAATAAATTGATTTTCTCTTTAATTATTACAAAACCATGCATTTGAAACCTTAGCCACTCTGGTGATGTAACCTTAAAATCACTGGTATGGTAGACAGCTTTTTTTTCCATAAACAAACAACAGAACAGGAATATATATACAATTTTTTTAATGAGTCATGTACTGCTACAAAAGAAAATAGCCTGCACTTCTTTCACATCAATGGGAGAAAGAGGTGACAATTCATAGTGGAATACAGAAGCTTGCTTCCTTGGCACTTGTTTGATGCTCACTAAACTGTGCATCAGTCCATGATTAGAGGCAGAAATATTTTTTTTTTTTAATTTTTTTTTTTTTGCACCATTGTTTAAACGTAAGCTTCCGGTTGTTCCATCTTGCAGAAACTCAATCTTCCTTATTAGTAAGAGCTAAAAAGAGTGAACATTTACTAGTATGATGCTCCATACAAATGTTTCACTTCTAAAACACATGTAAAGGAATATGAATTAAATAGGTGATATTTGGTCATAAAATGATCAAACATAGGACAAAGGTGAGAGACACAAATTAAATAGACACGGCAAGAAAAACAAGTGATCACAAAGAGGTGTTGCAAGACTTAGGACTGTTATGTTGGAAGCCCTGAGAAAGACGGAGCTTGATGTTTTGTTCCTCTAATCCTCATCAGATTCAGAATCCGAGTCATACCCTTTGCCTCTGATGGTCTTTTTCTCCACCTTGGTGAACTTTTTCCCTGACTTCTGCCCCATTGTTGGTGGCTCCAAAATATTCCCACTAGATGGAGAAAGGATACAAATACAAAAGCAGTTTTTAAAATGATAGTTTATATAAATATACCATTTAAAGCAGTGGATCTCAACCTTTTTGTCTTCAAGGCCCCCTTATTGTCCACAACATTTGACCCTCCACACAATTTTAACCTGATAAAATATTTTAGAGTTTGGCCAAACTTTTTATATATAAAAATAACCAAACAGATCATCTTGATTTTTATATTGTTTTAGCTTATTTTGTCTTTTAAACATTTTGAAGTCATCAAAATGGCAAGGCCCCCTGGCCATATCTGCAATCAGCATAATGATTTCTGATATCACTAAAGACTGAATGATACTAAAAAATGCATCTTTGCCATCACATTAATACATTACATTTTAAAATATATTTAAATAGAAAAAAGTTGCATATTTTAAAAATATTAAAATAAGAGTATGAAAAATAAAATATGAGAAAATGTATAGAACTGAATCACTGAAGCATGTGAAATTGCATTATTTACTAAACAATTATATAGTCGGGAGTTTCTCACACTGACCATCAACAATGGGGCAAGCACCTGTAACCCTGGTAAGCGGAAATGTGGACACACACACACAAAAATACAACATACATACCTGTAGTTTATAATACTTGAGCAGCCCAGTCTCCACTCCAGCATTTCAGTTGGAAACTCATCTGTGTTGCCCAGATCGGTGAAGCCCACAATGTAATCCTTAGTCTTCCCATCCTTAACCAGAGCCAGCGTTGGAATGACTTTAATCTTCAGCCTCTCTGTTAGGAATGGAGCCTTCTCAACATTCAGTTTGATGAACTTTGTTTCCAGATGTTTCTTAGCCAAGACAGCTAGGTGCTTGTCCAAAATTTTGCATCTTTGAAAAAACAAAACAAAAAAACCCCACTGAAAATAGCTGTACACAAATGATACATAACACAAGGATGCAAGGAAACCAAAAGAAAACAAATATATCCTCAAATACCTGAATGTAGAGTCTCTGTAGAAATGGCAGACAACATTTTTGCTTTCCTTCACCTCTGCAAAAAAATCTCTCTCACTTGGGATCTCTCTGTATTCACCATGTCCTTTAGATATCCACTCCTGAGGACACACATACCACAGTTTACAAAGTTTAAACACATCAATAGAGTGAATCTGATCTGCTTAAATGCACTAATAAACACCTCGTGTAGATAACTTATTTTGAATAAGCATTTTAATAAACTTAAACTCCAAATTTAGAGTTAAGTTCTTTAAATATGTTTAGAGCACCCGCCTGCTTCTGTTTCTGAGCTTTCTTGAGGGCCTCGAGCCTTCTCTCCTTGAGCCGATCCAGGTCATCTTCATCCATGGTCTGCAACTGCTGTAGTTCTGCATCCAGCTGCTCTTCCACCACCCGTGCCGACTGCAGCACCTGCTGCTCCAGAGCTTTCGCAACAACCTCCATTGACTGACTGGCCATTTCCTGTTAAGACATGCAGCACATACTGGATGCAATTACTTAAATAATTCACTTTTAAAACAACGATTAAAGAAAACTATTTTTAACACTGCAAAATAATTTTATCACACATCTAACAAGGTCTCACAACAACGTGGGATTTGTGTCTTTAATGTTATTAAAGTGAATGGTTTTAGGTGTCTGTCGAAGTAAAGCAAGAAGCTGTTTGTGTGAAATGTGTGGCACACGTTAATCAATTGTCGTCGGGGTTTTGATGGGCATTCTGATGTTCGTTCACAACAATAGAGGTGCGGGGAAGTTAGTCGGCCAGCGCTGCTTGACTAACGTTAACGTTACTTCGACTGCATGAAGACAAGAATGCCCGTTTGGCTTACCTTCTCCAGATCCTATGTCATTGTTTCACCGACAATTGCTAATTCTAAAACACAATATGCTCTTGTAAATAATGACTTATAATTTTAAAACTGATTTGTGGGGTTTTGCGTCAAATCGTGCTAATGCTAGCATATTGCTTTGGCTTTCCAACACCGTGGTAACGGAACGGAAGCTTTTGATCGCCAACAAAGACTGTAGCGTAACATTAGTTAATCGGCAAGCGACACACTCTCCAGAAAGAAACAACATGATAAGGATAATTTAACTGACATACAATTTAAAATGCAGGGTTTGTAGAAAAAATATGTTACGGAAAAACACTTACCAAGTCTGTATAATTTCTAGAAGGCGACACAGTGACTGACGCAGGGTTTACGTAGAGGCGTCGCCTGATTACGTCATGGGGGACGCAGGCTCCGAGTCACTAAGATTGAAATATGAAATACCTGACTTTAATTTTAAAACTATAAAATATTTGTCTTTTTCTTTGAGTTACGATCTTGAATTTCTGGTGAACAATATTGTGCTGTTGGCCAATTACTTAATAGACAAATGCAGATTATTTAAGAACCCTCCCACTTTCTTACTCTTCCATAAAGATTTAATAATCTTATTAATCTTAATAATCTTCTTCAAATCTTTAAGACTGGTGCATAACAAAAAAGCCCTTAAATCTTCTGAAGGTTTTGTTTGATGATTCCCCCCTTGTGTAATATTTTATTTATTTACTTATTTATTTATTTGTTTACTTATTTACTTATATATTTAAAAAACTTACATGTTTTTTCTTTTCTTTTTTTCTGTTAGATTTGTGGTGTTAATTGTTTTGTGCTGCTATTAGGACTTCTTTGTAATAATTTAAGATTTGTATCTTGAAGTTTGTTGGTATTTTGTATGTTTCTTTGAGCAATAAAAAAAAATATTGCATTTCAGAAGAAATATAGAATAATAATAATGCATTTTATTTAAAAACGCCTTTCTGGACACTCAAGGCCGCTGTATATATACAATCAAAACATCTATTGTATTGTATTGCTTTTTGTTGTTGTTGTTGTTTTCTATAAAATTCAGTGCAGATGTAGGTCACGTAATTTCATTCATTTGGCAAAAATTTCATGTCATTTATTTTCTGGCTTACACTTACAGACATCTAACATGTTATAATAATTAATAAATGCAGTATTTTGCACCGTTACACAAAAGCTACATTTTAAAAGTGTGTGCAGGACAACCGAAATAGTAATATAATATATATGGGAAGTTTAAAATGCTCTAACAGTTTTGAAATTTACATTAGATCAGTCTATTTTTTTCTTTGTAAAATTTGTTTTGAATTTATGTTTTTGGTGATATTTGATCAATATCTATTTAAATTTTCCCTCTTTGTTTGCACCATCAGGTTATTAAATATTAATTTATAAATATTGTACATCACTACAAGCTAAAACTTTCCTAAGTGTTATTAAAGTACAGATTTCAGAGACGAATGCCTTTTGTCTTTATCCTTTCATTCCAAATCTTATTTCATTAGTTTAAGATGTTTGCTGTTACACTCATTGTTAGATTGTTAGAGACGTTGTTTGTGGATCAATGTTTGCTTGATCCACAAATTATAAACACATACACACAAACACACACACACACACACACACACACACACACGCACACACACACACAAACAAAACAAAAACACAAGACCATATCATTTACCAAATTTATTTGCAAATTTAGAAAACATACAAATGATGTCACAGCTTCTGGTCTTCAGGCACAGGTCATTCTGTCATTACAGATTTTTGACCAAATATGGTTTTTCAGGCCCTCATCTCTGTAATGCCATGATAATGTGAGATAATAACAGATGTACGTCTCATGAGCAGCTTGTTAAAACCAAAAAAGTATACATTTACATTTGAGGTCAAGTACATTCTGTTCATACATAAATTCAAAACTACAGTGAAAAGGGATTGAGAGGATGCTTCATTAGGAATGTAGACTGAAGTATCCATATTTGACCTATTATTCAGTTCACATCCATCTAATTGAAAAACCCCTCCTTTCCTCCAGCACCATATCCATATATAGAAAACAGGACTAAGAAGCTTGACAGTACAGTTGAAACTCAATTTAGTAAAATTAACCTGGTCAATTTTTTTCTTAATCTTTTTCTTCATAAATATTCCTCTCTCTTTTAGCTCTTTCAGACATACGGACAAACATGCATCATGATGAACAATCAATGAGCAGGAGTACCGTAATTTATATATATATATATATATATATATATATATATATATATATATTAAATCTAGGAAAACAAATGTTAGCTTTACATAAAATGTTATTATCCACATGCTAAACTGCCAAAAGACTTTGATTCTGTTTTCCATATTTCCACATCTCAGTCTGATCCATAAAAGGCAAATGACATGCCACACCATTTTCTGCTTTGCAAAAAAATCTGTTATATATTTCTGAGGCCAGAGTCAGACATTCAAAATAAACACAGGTTCTGAGGTACTAGAGGACAAAATGCTGACAATTAAGACAAGAAAGAAAAACAGATCCAAATATAAAACAAAGTGGCTTGCTTTGCTTAGTTTAGGACAGTCAGTGCATTCAAAACATTCAAAAAAGTTCTGGTGACATTTTACACTCAGGTTGTACACATTAATAGTTAACCAACTAAAAAGCAATGACGCTTTAATCAAGATTAATATGTCCTGTAAAATGTTCATTTCTACAATTACATATATATAAATGTTACAAATGTATGTTAATATTAGTTAATTCATAAAAAATAGAAAAATAATATAGTTGTGAATTAACATTAACCAAGATTAATAAATGCAGTCAAAATTATTCCTTGTTAGCTCATTACACTTAATGCATTGACTAATGTTAACGAATACAACCTGACTGAAAAGTGTTACCAAAGTTCCTCTAGAGACATCAGTCTAGAGAATTGACATCATGATGAAAGAAATATTCAGTGTTCCACTGCTTGTGAATAATGCTGGTATGCTCATCTGTTCCTCATCATTATTGGCTGGATCTTGTGATCCTCGGATGTCCTCTGTGTGCTCAGAGAAGCTCTATTGGGTGATTTCACAAAAAGGAAAGCAATGCTACGATTGTCAGACTCTAGCGGTTTTGTTGCATCTCTCACACATCATGATGAGGTGGCAGGACTGGGCTGACGTCACAGTGACTGAGGTTAGGACGGTCCTCCTATGTGATCTTCAGAGTGCTACCATAGGTTTGCTGTACCACCACCTGCACATTGTCAAGGATGAAGTCAAAGGCCATGCTCCATACTGACTCTGAGGACTGCTGCATGAGTCTGAAATGAACAGTTCAAATCATCAGAAAGTCCAATCGATCTCCAATCCCATTTCCAGAATAGTTGGGACATTTTGTAAAATGCAATAAAATCGAATTGGTGATTTGAAGCTGTATTTATGGCAGGAACCAGTGACAGAGAATTCAGAACAATACCTCTTCATGTATTTGATGACAAGGTCGAGTTTCTCCAGGTCTTTATCATCCACGAGTTCTGTGCAGTACTTCACCACCTGCAGAATGTCCTCTTCCATTGGTTCTGTCAAGATGCAGCACCACACAATTAAACCAGGTGCACAATGCAAATATATACTAGCATTTTAAAAAGTGTTGCTGTTCTGCTGTACCTGAGATGGTAGTGACCCATTCACGAAGCAGAGTTCTGATGTCACCGAATTCATAAGCTCCAGCAAGGGTCGGGACTGGACGGGGATTTAGTTTGGACAGCGTCTCTGGGACATCTATGCTCGGAGAGGACGGGCACTGTAGATTTTCAGTCTACCAATGAAAAACATCTAAAATAAATCCTTTTTCCCCCCCCAGAATTGTCAAAACTTTGAACAAACATGTTTAATATCCAATGGCTTTAGCATCAATAAACTACAGTAAAAATTATTATAAATAAAAAGAATATTGTAACTGGATTACAGGCTTACTTTGAGGCCTTGTTGTTTGAGTGGCAGAGGAACAATTTTGGAGGGGCTAGATTTGGCAGAGCTGTTTCCAGGAAATAGTTTTTTTAGTGGACTTGGACCCTTTTTGGCAGGACTAGCATTTCTCTTTTTGTAGCTGCGCTTTAATTTCCCCACTGCAGGCTGCTTTAGTTGAGGAAATGTTTTTTTTTGTTCCACTACAGAAACGAGAAGGAAAGATTAGAGACACTGCATGGTGTGTGGTAGTGGTTGATTACTTAATTCTAGGTGAGACCTGGATATCAAAACTCAATTATAACACACCACAAGGACTACATTTATGAAAAATATGCTAATGTACAGTATAAAAGATGAAATATGTTAAAGGAAACAAGTTAGAATAAGTAAGTGCTCAAAACAGAGAACTGACATTTGGGATGTTTACATTGTTGCACATTCCTACTTATTTTTACTCACCAGTGGTGCCTTGAGCTTGAGCGTTTCCCTTGTTTCGATAAGCAGAGCACAGTTCTTCCTGAAGCTCTCTGGGAAGTGCTGCAAACACATCTGGGTCAACCTGTTAAAAGTTTAATTTTAGGATTAGGGCTGGACAAAAAAAAAAAAAAAAATCGATTTTTTGATTAATCTCTTTTAAAATGTGGTCGATTCAAAAGCGATTCTCAACAGCCATGAATCGTTTTTTTTTTCTCCCCATATTCAGTGCTCGCAGTGCTACGTCTTCTCTCTCTGGACTAGGCAAGCGTGTCAAACGCTGCAGACGCCAGTGTTATTTTACATAAGATTAGGGCCTACTATATTTAGTCTCTGTAGTTTTTCTGACCACCCAAAAAACTTTTATTTTTATGTTTCTTTGTTTTTGTCTTTATTCTATTGTATTTATTTGTGCTACTTTTTTTCAATTTAATTCAAAGATTGAAATCAAGCTTTCATGTGTAGCATAAACTGTTAACAAAAAATTACTTAATTTGTAAAAACAAACATTTAGGTAAGATCAATGTAATAAAAAAAAAAAGTCTAAATATTTATATATTTATCTATAAACATATCTTAAACATAAAATAACCTGATCCTGTTTGATCAAGGTGTGCGACTGTTCTGACTTGTCCAATTTTCAGCATTGATTTTGCATCTTGCATCAAAATCCTGTCAATTAATTTTATGCATTTAGTGTATAGTGTACCTAAAATAAAAAGAGTTTTATATACAGGTTTGTGGCTCTTAATTTCTTTGTATTAATTAACCACTAATAAACTTATGTCCACTGTTCTTTTTTTATAAATATAGGATTTGTATTACATCTATATTCATTATAGTCGAATCGAGAATCAAATCAGGAATCGAGAATTGAATTCGAATCGAATTAAGAACTTGCGAATTGAAATTGAACATCTGAATCAATACCCAGCCCTATTTAGGATCTCTAAAATACTAGTTTCTGATGGTCAATGTAAACACCATTTCACCAAGTTTCCCCCTTGTAGTCGGCATATAGCATGTACCTGAGAGAAGTCAGGGAGCTCTAATATAATGCCTGTTGTACATGGTTGACCTGGCTGGTTTTGGAGCTGCAGTACAAGGGTGCCAAGTGATGGGGCTGGAGGTGGTGAGGAGGTTTGAGGTGGGGTTGAGAGATGAGATGAGGTGCTTGGCTGCTCCTCTCGGTGTCTCCAGGACTGCTCCACCTGTTTCCTTATGTCTACAGGTAAAGCTTCTAAAACAGATGGGTCCACCTAAAATGAGAAGGGACAGGGGCCGAAAAACGGCCACTTGCATTTGAAATGTCACCGTTCAAAAGTTTAAGTTTTTTTTTTTTTTAAATTAAGGCTACTTTTATTTTAGTAATCCTGTGAAATATTTTAAATAACTGTTTTCTTTTGTAATTTATTTTAATGTATTAATAAGTGATTTTTCAGCATCATTACTCCTATATTCAGTGTCACATGATCCTTCAGAAATCATTGTAATATGATGATTTGCTGCTCAAGAAACATTTTTACAATCATAAATGCTGAAAAAAAAGCTGTGCTGCTTAATATTTTAGTGGAAACCATGATGCATTTTCATTTTTTAGATCCTGAGATGCACTCAAGAACCTAACCTGAGAGGGAGATGGCACCTCAATGCTGACGTTTAGGCATGCCCTAACATGGTTGGGGGTGCGTGGATGGTGAAATTCTCCTTTACTCGTTCCAGGCATTGGATCTGAGCTGGTGGAGGGTGGAGATGATGGAGGAGTAACTCTCTCCAGATTGGAGGAGAAAGCTCTGGACGAGGAAGGGCTGGTTAAACCATCTAAAATACAAGCAACAAGGAATGTTTGTTAAGGGTCAGACACCAACATAAATCCTATATATCATAACCTAAATCAGGGTTTTTCAAATCTGGCACTGGAGGGCCACTTTCCTGCAGAGTTTAGCTCAATTAAGTGAGTTTATTCAGGGTTATATCTAAACTTTGCAGGACAGTGGATGGATTTGAAGAACCCTGTCCTAATCAAACTGCTCTGACCGTGTGCTCGAGGCTCTTTCCTGGGGCTGTGGACAGGCTGTCTGGCCTGCAGCAAGTCTTTGATCGAGCGACCACGAGAGGGCCCTTGTCCTGATGTGTCTGCATGAGGTCCCTCCAACTGCTGCATCTGCAGCCCCACTCCCCTCATGTCCTTCACATGCAACTTCATGGCATGGAATAGCTTAATAGCCTCTGCCGCAATCAGCTGACCATTGTCTGTGGACTGAGCTAGTAAAACAGACCTGCAATGTGACAGTAATGAGAAACTCTCAAATGTATATCAAATCAAAGCTCAGTTATTAGTCAATATTACAGATTCTTCGAATGAATTAAAATCAGTTTTGGATGATATTGGATATTTAATTGTGCATGCTAATCTCCCCTATTTTTACATTTAAATAACCGTTGCCATCTTCTAATGCTCATTTAAAGTTAACTTTTAAAAACACTAGTAATAATGTGCAATAATGGAATAAAATTTGTAAAATTTCAAACTTTACATTTTCAGAAAAAAAAAATGATTGTAATATATCCCACAGCATGAAAATAATTATTATCAGCTTATCAGAATCAGCAGGAATTTTAATTATTTATCAGAGAAATTCTCCCAATTCAGCCATGCATACATTGTTTTCTGAATCTCTAATAATATAGTCTGCAACCTTTTCTTACAATCAAGCGCAAGTTCACATTCAAATCCGCCTCTATCCAATCAACAACAATTAATTAAACCAAATACCTGCCCTACATTTTTCTTTTTGTTTCACTCAAATTTTACGTAACATTACAGAGGAAAAGATGTGTTGCTACTCCTGTTTCATCACAACATTAAATGTCAGAGTATCACTCCCCATAAACAACTGGCAGTGGTTATTTGAGAAGACTAGAAGTGGCAAATTTATCCTGGTGCAAGTCACCTGGCAAAGTTGTCGCATATCCCATGACCACCATATTTGGCTGGCTCTATCGGAGCCCCTGCTTTTCGTACCATGACCTTAAGTGTAACTCGGCGACCTCTAAGGCCCGCCCCCTCCAACCTCTTCTGCACCTCCATAGACAGGTTAGTGAGGAAAGACTCCGCTTCTTCAACCTAGCAGAACATTAGAGAGGGAGGTCAACAGATTTAGGACAATGACAAGTATAGGATGATTTACAATGATTGCTGTAACTTGTATACTTCAAAACCTGTGTGAACCGAATGTTGTAGTTCATCTCTGCAGACACAGACTTTCTCTCCTTCTCACTGCGCACAGGCCTGTCATCCAGTCCCCTGCAAAAACGAAAGAGCGTCTGTCCTGTCCGTGGCCCAAACTCCTTTTGCAATTGAGACATGGACAACTGCTGCAGGTCACCACAGGTACTCACTCCCAAGAAGGTCAGCTTGGAGTTCATTG